GGTGAGAGAATTCACCAGAGACAGAGTGGGGAGCAGAACAGGCAGATGTACCGAAATACACTGCTGAGGGGAGCAGTGGGTGGGTCAGGAGAGTTCTGCCACACCATGTGGTTCAGTTTCCTGGCAGGGAATCCAGCTTGTGCTGCAGTGGCTTCGGAGAGTTTCATAATGTGGTGCTTAACTCGTTGCGCCACTGGGGAGAGCCCCATTACTTTTATTGTGCCATAAAAATGGAAATTTTTACTGTATCCATTTTTCTAATGGATCTACTTATATCCACTTAATGGTTTGGCATCTGTAATATGTATATTCAAGTTCTGTAATTTATCTCCTTGATGAAATTTATGTACTTAAATGTTTTGATCAAAAATTTTTTTCCCCCACAGAACTCAACAAAAATCCAGTGGAAGGCTTTTCAGCAGGTTTAATAGATGACAATGATCTCTACCGATGGGAAGTCCTTATTATAGGTCCTCCAGATACACTTTAGTAAGTATAATGGGATTGATAGTATAATTGTATCTTTTAATTAGTTGAATTGTAAACTATTTTGAAAAAAACTGAAGTAAAGTTCTTTTTTGAAAGAACAGGTGAAATGGCTGTGTTTGGTATCATTTGTGCTGAATGATCCATGCCTTGGGTTTTTGCATGAAACTAATCTGAAACTTACTGTTTTAAACATTTCTCACTAACTAGAATAACGTTTTTACAGGAAAGCTATTCTTAAGGTGAAGTTACACGTAAATATATTTTCCTTATATCCTCAATTAGATAGGTTTTGACCAGATTGGGAATTGAAGGAAATTCTTTGTTGAAAAGTTTCTCTTTCCTCCCGTCTCTTGTGTTTGTATTATGCCTTGAACCCCCAGAGGGAATGTAAGAGCTTTAAAGACATGGCTTTACTCTTCTTAATACTCTACTAGTTTAATTAAAGCATGTTATTAGATTGGGATATTTTCGTGTAAAATACATTGTGTAATCATAGCAGGAGTATAATGGACCAGGCGAGAAAACAACAAAAATAATGAACAACCATATACCAGAGACATTTTGCGGGGGTGGAGTGAGGAATGGGATCAAAAATGGGGGGGGGGGGGAGGGAGGGAAATGCACGGGATTATGGTGTGCCGGGATTATGGTGATGGCACACGGGTGACTTGGTGATGGGAAACCCACGGGAATTACAATTGAGATGGGGGGAAAAATGTACAAAATGATGTAAAAATGAACTTTTGTAAAGTAAAAAAAAATACATCATGTAATATCACAGTCTTAAAAAGTTTAGAAAGAACTTTCACAGTGGTCAATTTTAGTGGTTCACTAATTGGATCCCCACAGAGTATTGACAGAATCAAGATGTTCTGAACCTAAAATTAAAAAAAGGTCATCTTTTCCAAATTTCTCAAAGTGATAGTTAAGGTATAAAATCATCTATTTACTACTAGTTAAACTAATGTTATGAAGATGATAGCAAAATGTGTATCGAAGAGCAGTAGAAAAAGGTGGAGTATCTTTAAACATTTTATGTTATCATTTCTAGATTCAGTCTTGTTTTCTGTTCTAAGTGTTTGCAAACTAGACTTAATTTTTTTTTTAAGATTTATTTATTTGTACAGAACTGGGGTACAGGCCAGAGTTGCAGGGGCAGTGAGAGGATTCACCAGAGACAGAGTGGGGGGCAGAACAGACAGATCAACGAAGTACACTGCTGAGGGGAGCAGCTGGCACGTCAGGAGAGGTCTGCCCTGCCATGTGGTCACCTTAGGGGCAGGCAGGGATCGAATTCATGTGGAAGTGGCTTTCGATTGTAGTGCTGCGCTTTAACTGCTGTGCCACCAGGGAGGGCCAAAACTAACTTAAATTTACTAATAATTAATGCTCTGTAAAATGGAGCATGTATTCCTAATGTCAGTGACCAGAAAATTTCTACTTTTTTTTTAAAAGATAGATTTATTTATGCATACACCTCTGGCATAGGCCAGAGGTGCAGGGAGTTAGAGGATTCAGGAAAGACAGTGGAGAGCAAAACCGGTGTATCTGCTGAAATACACTGCTGAGAGGAGCAGTGGGTGAGACAGGAGAGGTCTGCTGTGCCATGTGCCTCACTGGCGGGGGGAATCAAACTTGTGCTGCACTGGCTGTGCATAGCTTCATAGTTCTGAGACTTTAACACCTTGTACTACCAAGGAGACCAGTTTCTATGCTTGGAAATTACCAATGTGCTTATTATATTAGTAACTTGAAGAGGTAGAAGCCACCTAGACAGTTGTTTAAGTGTTAGTGGGAGTGAATGCACAAATTTAAGTATTAATTACTGCCTCTAAAGGGAAATAGATTGAAAATGGAGAGGAGGGAGGGTAATAGGATTGAAATTAATGTGAACTTTGATGGTACCCAGATCTAATTGACCACTTAATAATTAAATCATTTAAATTAATACTGTACTTAAATTCCTTTTAGAAGTTGGTGGTATTTCATGGTGGCACAGTAGCCATCACTCAGTCACTAGAGGGCACTCCACACTCTTTACATTCACTGTAATGAATAAGGGACACATTGAACTCAAACATTCCATTTTGGCACTGATGGTTGCATGTATATTGATCATTATACTAATCTTCATTTTTTATGTAATAACTTACTCTATTAACCTTCCTAGCACTGTTAAAAATAGATTGTCAATCTATATGAAAGACAGACATCCTGGAATTGTTGTATACCTATTATACTCAGATTATAGAACAAGTAGTGTGGATAAACATCCATATCAACAGAAGTTAAAATTTCAGAAAGGAGTGATACAGGTCTTTAAAGTTTGAGACCTCCCTGGTGGTGAAGGGGTTAAAGTCTCAGCACTAGCAACCACCAGCCACTGCAGCCTGAGTTTGATTTCCCCAGCCAGGGAGCTGACCCACTGACCCACATGGGGCAGCAGACCTCTCCTGTCTTGCCTGCTGCTCTCCTGAATCCTCTCATACCCCACCAATCTCTGGCCTATACCCCAGTTCTTGCATGTATAAGTAAATATAAATAAATCTTAAATAAAGTTGGGAGAGTCATACCATGTAATTATATTATTTATATTCATGAATTGTGAATACATGGTTTTTCTTTCTTTGTTTTTTAAATTTTGTTTTAATGGGTCTCAAAATTCTGTGACAGATTTTGGTAACCTTTTATTTTTTATTCTCTTTGTTTAATCACCAGTTTGATTAAAGAAGTATGCTTTTGTTTTCACACTACTGGCAATAATTGAAAAATTTACAGAAGCTTAAGAATCTATATGTATATATTTTTTAGTACTACTTTGTGTGGGTCTAGAAAATGTAGATTTAACTAAATAAGCTCTCTGATTAGTATTACTTTAGCGTCATAAGACATATGTTTTGCAATGAAATTTTGGAGGAAATGAATCTAGTGCCAACATTGCTTAGAACATTGATCAGTGGAAGTACCACGTCACTTAACATGTAGTGCTTAAGAACATGGGCTTTCAGAAATGCCTTTGTTTAGCTCTCTAACTCTAGGGATTGAATACTCCTTAAATATTGCCTTAGCAGTTTCATTTCTAGAATAAAAACTTATGCCTAGGAAATGTTTAGGATTTTCTGTGTTCTTTCTGTTGTTTGTAATAGCTAAAAAAGAAGGAAAAAAATCAAATATTTCATCAGAATAATGGATAAATGGTGGAATATGGCTGATAAATAAACAAGAGCTAGGTATCAAACAATTTCAGAAGACAATATACAATATATCTAAATAAAGTAAATAATGGCAGATGATAGAATTTGATCGTTCTAATTTAATGCAAAAACAATAAGGGATGCCTCATGGAAGAAACTTGAATTAAGCCAGGGTTTCTTAACCTTCTCAAGAAGGTTACCTACCCCTTTTACATCACCTTGGTAATCATGCAGTTAGAATTTGTGATGAAAATTTGTAAAGAAAGATATTTTGGATTCATTAATTAATGCCTTTTTTTTTTTTTAAACTGGGGTACAGACCAGAGGTGCAGGGGTGGTGAGAGACTTCGCCACAGACCAAGTGGGGAGCAGAACAGTTAGATTGACAAAGTACATTGCTGAGGGGAGCAGTGGGCAAGACTGGAAAGGTCTGCCACACCATGTGGGTCCTCTCCCTGGCTGGGGATCGAACTCCTGTTAAGGTGGCCCTGGCTAGCTTTGTAGTGCTGCGCTTTTAACTTGATGCTTTTTAATAAATATTCATTTTGCTAATCATAATAGCATCTTCCTGTATTTGACAAATGGTGAATATGTAACATATTAGTGTTTAGTCTACAGTGGTTTTGTACCCTGTGGGTTTTTGAGTTCTTGCTAACTTGGCTATTTACTAGAAGCTTGCACCTATGAATTGGGGCTGCTTAGCTAGACTTTAAAAAAAAATGGTAGGATTTATACAGAAAAGGGGATATTATGGGGCTTACCTACAGGTGCACAACATAAGGAATAGAATGAATTATTCTGAATGGGAAGAGCATTGATAGGTATTGATAGAATGAAAATTGTATGAATTCTCAAAATAACCATATTAATTAAATTTGATAGACTTTTGAAAATTGAAAATAATTTCACAGGAAGGCAATTTATCATGATCAGGATTCCAGTCAGTTTCCAGTCAGTTAACAAAAACTTTAAGTGGACCATATCAATCAAAATTAAGGAACCTAGGAAAATGAATTTAAAGCTAGTAGAATGAAGTTTCTTGGCTATCTTCTGTATTTATGACTTTCAGACTTTTTCTTACTGCAACACATAACCAAAAATATTTTATGGCCCACTATATACATGTAAATATACACTTTCAGTGAGTAGAAATTACATGTAGACTATATAATTAAAACAAACTGATAAAAAATTTCTATTTTTTTTTAAAAACTGGTTAATGACTCATTTAATTGATTTTTGCAGCACCAGTTTAAAAAAACTAGTCCACATAATCACTATATCCTAAAGCCAGTTTTGGTATTAACTTATAAAGTTCAGTAGCATGAGTAGAAGATAACTTCTTGTATCAGTGTGATACAAGTTATTCTAGGCCCACTCCCCCTCAAGTCTGTTATTTGTCTTTATTAGATATATATATTTTTAAGATTTATTTATACACTCAGAACCTGGGTACAGGCCAGAGGTGCAGGGGTGGTAAGAGGAGACACCAGAGACAGAATGGGGAACAGAACAGGTAGATTGATGAAGTACATTGCTGAGGGGAGCAGCAGATGAGACAGGAGAGGTGTGCAGCTCCATGTGGATCACCTCCAGGGCAGGGGATCGAACTCCATTGAAGTGGCCACAGCTAGTTTGCAGTGCTGTGCTTTAACCCTTTGTGCCACCAGGGAGGTCCCAGATAATTTTATAAAAAATAATTCCATACCATAGGCATTTTGTCATTTTTCTTCCTTTCTTCCCCTAGGTGTCTATTCTGTATTCAGTCTGTTTCTTCTGTGCAAAAGGAGAAGTGTTCTTTTTCCTAGTTTGGTCCTCTATTTCCCTTACTTTCCTTGTTCTAATTTCTCAAGTCATTTTTCTAGTATTTCTAGTCTTTCTGCCAGCAACTTCCCGTCTTGCAAACAGTTTGGGTATTTTCAAATCTTCCATTTATATTGTTTTCCCATGGAGTTACTGTCTTCTTTAACTGTTAAACTTCTCAAATCCCTGTTCATTATGCTTATACTTCATCACCCTGTTTTTTCCTTTAATCCTTGTAGCCATTTTTTCCTATTACGTTTACCAAGGCTGTATTATCAAGGTTATTTAAGGTCCAGTGACATTTCCTGAGTATTCAAAAGTGCTTGCTATAATGATCTACACCCCATTTTGCTTTTATAATCAAAAAAGGTAATTGTTGCTACTTGCTTATGATTAAAAATTTAAGTTATGTTGAAATATGCAAAGCAGAAAGTATAAGATCCCATACTCCTGTGCTTCTGAGTTAACTGTTATATATCAGAGTCATGTTTCCAGACATAGTTCTGTCTTTATACAAATATACCCCCACTTTTTCTTCTTAAAGACAAATAGGCTTTTGTAGGATTAAAAAAAAATAATAGTAGGGTCCTCCCTGGTGGCGCACCGGGTTAAAGCACAGCACTAAGAAGCTTAAAGCACAGCACTAAGAAGCTTAAACCACTTCCGCATGAGTTCAATTCCCGCCTGTCCTGGAGGAGATCCACATGGAGGCAGACCTCTCCTGACTTGCCCACTGCTCCACCAGCAGTGTACTTCGTCGATCTGCCTGTTCTGCTCCCTACTCTGTCTCTGGTGAAGCCTCTCACCCTCGCATCTCTGGCCTGTACCCCAGTTCTGTATGCATAAATAAATAAATCTTTTAAAAAAAATAATAGTAGATTGCACTAGATTGCTCATATAATTCTAGTACTCACTACTGATATTTTTCCTGATGGCTTCCTCTTCCTCTGGAATGGCAGTTACTATGAAAACAGTAATTGCTAGCTTCTTGTTCTCTGTTGTATCCACAGCGAGTTGGTAACCAATTTATACTTGTCTAACGAATGAAAACTATTTAATAAGCTGATTCTCACTGTTCTGAAACAAATACAGTTACATGGTCCTTTTCTGAATGTGGATACATCAAACAAAAAAATAACAGATACATGATTTCCTGTGGTAATAAAGAAACTAAAAGAGGTCATCAGTGTAATAGAGGGACACAGTGACTAGTTAACACTGGATAATCCTGGCCCTCCCTGGTGGCACAGTGGATTAAAGCACAGCAGTGAGAAGCTAAAGCCACTTCAGCATGATCCCCACCCTGGAGGTGACCCACATGGCACAGCAGACCTCTCCTAACTCCCTGCTGCTCCCCTCAGCAGTGTACTTCATCTACCTGCCTATTCTGCTCCCCACTCTGTCTCTGGTGAATCCTCTCACCACCCTTGTACCTCTGGCCTGTACCCCAGTTACTGTATGTGTAAATAAATAAATATATATATATATTTAAACTGGATACTCAATTAAAATCTTTCCTAAGAGGTAACAGTTTAGCTGAATTCTGAATGATAAGAAGGGTGACAAAAGCATTCTAAATGGAAGGAACAGTTAGCCCCAAAGGCTCAAAACCAGGAACTTCATAGTCTTTTTTTTTTTTGTCCCATACCTGAGTTGATCTTGTTATTTTTATTGTTAATGTTTGTATTAATATTGTATACAACTTGTGTTATTGTGACAATTCTTCAAGAATCATTTCTAAGTAAATGGAAATAACTCTAGATGTGCCTTGTCTAGCATTTATTAGCCACTAAATAAATGGCTACTAAAATTAAGTAAAATAAAAAAATAAATTTCTTGGTTGCATTACCCATATATTAGGTGGCTAATACTACCTGTAGATATAGAACAATTTCAATATTCATGAGATCTGTCACTGGAACCACTATGCAAAGTCACTAAAAGAAACTCCTGAGGGACTATTATTTTGTCTACTGCTGTACTCCCAGTGCCTGACATGTAAAGATATTTGTTAAGTGATGAGTTGAATGCATGTATAGATGGGTGAATGAAAGGAAGGAAAATCAGCACATCTGTTCCCAAGCAGAGAAGAGCAAAATTTCAATAGGCTCTGAGATAGATGTTTGGTATGTACTTCCAGAATTGGGAGGAGACATACTGAAATAGAGAATGATAATTTAAAATCAACTTGGAGAAATTTGCAACCTGGCCACTTACAATGTTAAAAGCTTTCTGAATGTTGACTTAAGTACAATGAGAAGTGATAGAGCTTTCTACTACAATAATGTGATCTGATCTGGATGCCCTTTAAAAGTATTTAATTTTGCTAGCTATTTGAGAGTTTAATTATTAGTTATTAAACTGTATATTTGAGTAAGTAAACTCAATATACTTTCTTTTAATAATTGTCTGCTTAATTAATCAGAAGCTTACAGGCAAGAACTTGTTTTTGTTTTTCCAGTGAAGGTGGCGTTTTTAAGGCTCATCTCACTTTTCCAAAAGATTATCCCCTACGGCCTCCTAAAATGAAATTTATTACAGAAATCTGGCACCCAAATGGTAAGTTTTTTAGTTTTACTTTTGAAGGCTTGTTGGTGAAGTTTGCAAGGTAAATAAGAAAGAATAGTTCTCACTGAAAATGCTTTGGAATTTTTGTACTAAATAAATTATGGTCATTATTCATAATGCATTGCCTTAGAGTCCTTAGGAGAAAATGAGTTAACAGTGATCATGTGGGGGAACAAATTGTTCATTTAGTTTACAGCTTTTTGAGATTCATGACATTCCACACTAAAACACACAAAGTTGCTATTCAGAATTAATAAAGCTCTCATAACTGAGGAAACAATTTCCAAGGTAGTAGGTGACTCATTAGGTATTGAAAGAGTAGAGAAGTAATTATACCTGGATTTTTAATTTATAATCTTAGCTCTTATACCATGGGCAACTTTTAACTTTAATCTGTATTCTTAGCTGTTAAAAAGGAGAGTCCAATCTACCTCAAAGTGACATGGAAAGGTCAAATGGAATAAAGTACTATGTTTTAACCTTTGGGAAGCATATAGTAACTGCTGCACATTAAATTGTGGCATTGATTTTCTTGTCCGAAGATGTGCTACTATTTAAAATCTGCTTTGTAAGCCAAAGGTTAGACTAAATAACAATGTTTATTTATATATAGTCTCCCTGAACTTTTGGCTTATATATATTATATGGCAGAGCTTGCAAGGATCTCCCTCCCCCATTTTGACTGTGTATAATCAAGGTTGTTTTAGATTACTATCCTCATCTTCATTCTACTGTTTATGGTAAAGATTTTTGGTTACAAGGAAGAGAAATCCTTGAATTTTCCTTGAAGTAAACATGGGGTAGTAGTAAATGAAAAATGGGTCTTTCTAGAGAGTAGAATTAGTTAATGGAAAACTACAGAGAACCAAAGGAGTCATTAATGTGTCATTGCATCTAGATAGATAATAGTGATCATAAAATACACAGAGTTGTTTTTTGTTAATAGTAAGATATGACAAGATACCTCTTACAGTGTATTTATGGTAATATGTTGATGTTACATAATGTATGGACCCATGATTTGGCATCATCTACCTCTTGTTCCTTTGATATTTCTTCTGTCTTTTCCTGGGCTGATGGCAGTTTTACTGCCATAATTAAAGTACTTGATGTATAATAGGTAATTTTGGGGGTGCTTTTTTTCTAAAGAAGATATAACAATGCTCGTGAATGTTGGTTCCACCACAGAATGACTGTTATTCTGAGTAAAGCCTCTTGGAGCCTTAGTTTCCCAGACTATGAAAAAATTGAATCGGAGCACCTATGTTATGTTATGCATGGGGCTTCTCTACTATTAAGCAGGAAGATAGCAGTGACAGTATCAATTTAAAGGAAAATTGATTTTAAAAGTTTTCTTTTTAAAGAGTGACAAGACTTTTCTTTGTAGTTCACATGGTAGTAAATGCTAAAGGTTGAAATAAATCAACCGAGATCAATTTGAGAGAGGGCGTACTTTGTGAAGAATGGGTACCTGAGAGGTGATGGCGGTAGGGATGGCAAGTACAAAGGGGGCTAGACTAAGGCAGTTGAAGTCACTATGAAATGGAATGAAAGGAAAACTGAACATTGGTATATGTGCTGGGTACTGAAGATAGAAGTTTATCATGATCTATATAAAGGAAGGGTAGACCTGTGAACTTATCACTGAAACTGAGAGACAGTGGTGTTGTAGTTAATAAAGGAATGATAGATAGAAGATGGAATGTTTCCTGAACAGCATTTTATATATGGATGTCCAATGTCTTGAATTTTACTCTTTAGACTATAGGGTGAATTATAAAGTTGTATAGTAGTAGGTTTATCTTGAATAGATTGCAGTATAGGGGAAGGCTTTGAAGAAGAAGCCAGGTTTATAGCCAGGGCATTGGGGGTTTTATCAGTGGTTTGGGTAAGGGACAACGAAAGCTTGAACTAGTAAGCGTAGTGGTAGGAAGGAAGTTGCACTTCTCTCATTTGTTGACCACCAGATATGGGTGGTAATGGAGAAGTAAAACTTGAGAGTTGATGGTCATTGGCAGAATAATTTAGAGAATCAAAACTATAGTGAAATACCACTTCATCCCCTTACCCCAGGGTAATAAACAAGTAATAAAGGACAGGTAATAAACAAGTGTTGGCACCGACACAGAGAAATTAGAACCCCACATACACTACTAGCAAGAATGTTAAATGGCATAGCCCACATGATCAATTGATAGATGAACAGAAAAATAAAATAAAATGTATGTTCATACAATGTATGAAATACTGATATATGTTAAAACATGCACTAACAAAGCCTATAACAAAAGATCACACAGTGTGTAGTCCACTTGTGTGAAATGTTTAGAACAGGCAATTCTGTAGAGAAAAACCCAGCTTAGTGAGTGGTAGCTTAGAGCTTGGAGGAAGGTTGAGGGGAAACAGGAATGATTACTATTGGGTATTGGTTTTCTTTCTGGGGTGTTGAATGTATTCTGAAATTGATGGTAGTGATAGTTGTGCAACTCTGTGGACGTGCCAGAAACCATTGAATGGTGTACTTCCAATAAGTAAAATATACCTCAGTAAAGCTGTAAAAATATTATTAGCTTTGTTTTATTAAATCCTCTTGTAAATGTGCAGTGTGCATGTCAATGCTATAGGTCAATCAAGCTTGGGGTAATATTATGATATTATGAATGAGTTAATTTCCCTGGGGATGGGAAGGAATGGTTCAAACGGGAGAGTAGTATAACATCAAAAATGAGACCAAGGAGAACTAGAAAATAACTGGGAGAATATCTCAAGGACCAAGGAAAAGGAAGTATAGCACAGAAACTTGTGTCCAAGAAGGTGTCCTTAGCAGTATCGGTTGTCTTAACCAGAAAAGCTAGCTATAAATAACTAGGAGAGTATGTTCTGCAGACCACTTTGTGAGAACATGCAGTCCTGATAGGGGACAGAAGCCAGTCTCTAGCAAGATAGGAGAGAAAGACTACTCAGGTAGTAAGGAAATAGAGAAGATAGAGATAAATCATATTTTCACAGTTTTAGAATTAGGAGATAATTTGAAGGGTATATGTATTCAGGCAGTTTAACAATTAAAAGAGATACGTCATTTTTTTTGTGGTCTTTTTATTTTATTTTTAAAGATTATTTATGCATACCAAACTGGGGTACAGGCCAGAGGTGTGGGGGTAAGAGGATTCACCAGAGACAGAATGGAGAGCAGAACAGGCAGATCGACAAAGTGCATTGCTAAAGGGAGCAGCAGGCTGGACAGGAGAGGTCTACTGCGCTATGTGGATCACCTCCCTGGCCTGGAATTGAACTCGTGCTGTAGTGGCTGTGATAGCTTCATTAGTGCTGCACTTTAACTCACTGTGCCACTGTCGAGGGCCCGTGGTCTTTCTTTAGACCAAAAAAAAAAAAAAAAAAAAAGTGAATGAAAATTCTGTAAATGTAAATAAAGTTACAAATGTTATAAAAATAATAATAGTGAATATCAGTTTTTTGCTGAGAGGTGAAGACAAGAACTTGCCAGTTTCAAAAGTAATAAATGCAGAAAGTAAAATGAGAGTAAAGATAAATGACATTGTACAATTCTTAAATGGGTTTGTATATTGTATAAAGAACACTATTGGGGTATTAGATGAAAGGAAAGTTAACAGGTAAAAATTAAACAAGAGAAATTAAGAAGCAATTGGGCAAAAAGAAATTAAACACTGAATACATACATAGAGAAATAGTAAGTATGTTTCATAAAAGAGACACATGTATAACTTACAGACATGGAAAATTTTTAACCCAGAAGTATGTAAGAGATAATTAAATCAGATTTCCCTTTTGAAATTTAAAAATTACCAAAGTTAAGAAGCAATCATCATATTAACCAAAGTTAAGAAACATCATATGGTATTTATGGCTATGTAAGTTGGTTATAATCCTTTAAAATGGTATTCGGAAATAGGTATTAAGCCTGCAAACCTTATTCTAAAGTATTAAGCTAAATTTAAAAATGCTAGATTATACAGGAGAATTTGGGGCAGGAAAACAAAGTGTTAAATTATGATAATTTCTGAAAAAGGAAATTATTTTAAATTGTTTCTGATAGACTCAAACATTCAGTGTTTTCAGAGAAGTGATTTGAAAAAGTACTTATTATATGTGATAAGTGCGAAAAGATTTTATGCTATTGAAGGCTCCCAAGTGCCTGTTAGCATTCATTTCTGTATGTGTTGTGTCAGATGAGTGCCCGAAACAGTATGCATTTGGGAAGTGTTTGGCATTTGGGAAGTGTTTGTTGGTAAAGCAATGACACACAGAAATATGGTTTTTGTTACCTAGACTTTTTAACAACGGAGGAAATTATTTGAGTCACGAGCTGAAAAATAAGCTTTAAAACTATACCTATCACAATTTTGTTTGACTTTCAGTAGGACAGAAGAATGGAAAATATATAAATAATGCCAATGGCTTTTTGTGAGATTTAGCTAAAGAAAGTTTTTGCAACAAAAATTTTTATATTTTTTGAAATTTCTTCAAGTATGCTTTTTTTTTTTTTAAACCAGGGAAAATTTTACCATAAAAGACTAAGGTATTACTTGATTTCCTTAATAGGGAGGGGAGTCTTTGATGATAATAAGGGAGTTATGAATTAGGGCTTTGGTTTTATTTTGTTTAATAATTTATAGCTTAGATCTTAAATTTTATAGAAAAAATACCTCAAAATGTCATTCATGTTGATGGATTTTCACTGGTAATATGGCATGCTTTTATGAATTTGGATATAAAATTCATTTTATATCCAAGTTTGAATGGAATATTTTCCATTCCTTGAAAATATACACTTGCATTCCTGTTACTTAAGAACTATTATGATGTTAGCTCTCTTGTTTTAAGGAAGTCAATGGACCTTTGACTGTCACTAATTAAAATGAGTTAAGTTAGAAAGGAAACTAGAAATCATTACAAAGAAACTCAATTTCCAAAGTGAAAACAAGTGTAATAGTTGCCATTTATTCATTGGCATTGTGTTTATTACACATGAAGACTAAGCATTATCTATATGCTAAGTATCTTATGCACAAATGTAAAAAAGATACCTTATGTTCCTGGTAAGTTTGTCAAGTAGATCCTGTTTGGTAAAGTCTGGTCTTCTGAAAACAAATTCCATATTGGAAATTAGTTTCTCTGTATGTTTAATGTTTCTTACAGATACTGTGGGAATCAGGACCACATCTATAACACTTTATTTGTAAATAAATTATTTTAAATATAAACAACAGGAACCTTTTCTCTAATTTTGCAGTTGATAAAAATGGTGATGTATGCATTTCTATTCTTCATGAGCCTGGAGAAGATAAATATGGTTATGAAAAGCCAGAGGAACGTTGGCTCCCCATCCACACCGTGGAAACCATTATGATAAGTGTCATTTCTATGTTGGCAGACCCTAATGGAGACTCGCCTGCTAATGTTGATGCTGCGGTAAGGTGGTTGGTTACATATACACCGCCCTCCTTCCCTTTAATTAAACGCAACAACAAAATCTCTACATATATATCTCTTGTGTGTCAATCTGTATCTTATATCCATTTATCTCCTGAATCTGTAGGAAAATACATTGTAGATGTTAGTAAGCTTTACTCCTAAATAAGAACCTGTTTTTTTTTTTTTTTTTTTTTTTAAAGATTTATTTATTTGTGTATACAGAACTGGGTTACATGCCAGAGGCTCAGGGGCGGCGAGAGGCCTCACCAGAGACAGAGTGGGGAGCAGAACAGGCAGATCAACGAAGTACACTGCTAAGGGGAGCAGCGGGCGGGTCAGGAGAGGTCTGCCACACCATGTGGTCACCTCCGGGGCAGGCGTGAATCGAACTCATGTGGAAGCGGCTTTAGATTCTCAGTGCTGTGCTTTAACCCGCTGTGCCACCAGGGAGGGCCAGAACCTGTGTTTTTTTAAGAAAAAGGACACCCTCGTATAACTACCTATAGCCATACTTAGGAAAAGTTAATGTTATTTCCCCCAAGTTTTTGTTTTTAAAAATTTCATATCTACAAAAAAGGTTGCCATAGTTAAATAATAACTTCTTTACACTTGCCTGGATCAGTTATGGAAATTTTGTAATTTTTTTTGGGAACCATTTGAGAATATTTTACAGATACTCTCTTGAGTCACCCTAAAAGTTTTTGAGCACGTATCCTCTCTAAGAACAAGGGTGTTTTATGTAAGAATAGAACAAGTTAATCAGTAAGTATAATACTACTGAATGAACATATATAGTCTACACTCATATTTCACCAATATTGTTCTTTATAACTACCTTCTTGTTTCTGTTTTTGAAAATCCAGACTCTAGGGACCCACATTGTATTTTGTATTCATGCTTGTTAGTCTTTTTTAATCTAGAATATTTTCTAGTTCCTCACTTCTATCCTTTTTTGAAAAGCCTTTTGTTCTTATTTTTGGAATTTTATTAGCATATATTAAAACAAGATCACTTTTTTGATTGGGTTACTTCAAACCTCAAATGACTGGGTGAGATCTTACATATAGAAAAACCATATGTAGGTTAACCCCTGTTGAGATTTATCACTTCACAGATGGTAAACCAAAATCAAATACACAAGAATACAAATACACAAAGTATATTAACTCTTTGAGACAGCTGATTACTGAAATAGCAGATGCTACTGTGAAGTGGTTATGATGTTGTTGTTTCCTGATGGGTAGGAGATAGCCCTTAACATGAAGTCGGCATAAGCAAATGTGACTTCTAGTCTGAATACTACAATGTGTGTATTACCCCATTCCTTTTCTTAAATTCTGTCAATTCCTCTTTCTAATTTAATTTGTTTCATTCGTTTCCTTATAAGCAGTTTTGTTTACTTTTCCACTAGCTCTTCCCACTTATATTGTATACCTTTGATCATATTTTTATGCATTTTTTGCTTATTGTCCTAACATCCTAATTGATATTATTCCAGGAAATGCCTGTATTATTTTGAATTTCTCTCTCTTGGATTGCCTATATCTTGGGCTGCGAAGTAGATTAATTCAATCTGCTCCTCTGCTGCCTGCCTTTGGGTTTCCCACTGTTACCTAGCTCCTTTTTTTACTTCTAGCCTGACTTAACTCCTTTTGTTGAACTTCATCCAGAGTAGTGTTTTAGCAAGGGAATGTGAGAATTATATCTCAGCCTTAAATTATCTAAATACGCTACCTTGCTCATTATATTTGATTGGTAATTTGTTCATAGAATTATAAGGGAGAATATCAAATTTGTACAGAATTTGTCTTTTAGTATTTAGTGTTACTAATAAGAAAATTGGTATTAAGCCTACTTGAGGTGCTCTCCATTCCTTTTCTGTTAAGTCCTTTTTTTGATTCTTGGAAATTTCACATTGTTTGTAAATTGTAAATTTTTCCATCTTTTTTAATGCTGTTGAGTTAATTTATTTATGCATACAAGAACTAGGTACAGACAGGCCAGACTTGGGGGTGAGAGGATTCACTGAGGACAGAGTAGGGAGCAGAAGGATTCACTGGAGACAGAGTGGGGGGCAAAACAGGTATATTGACTGAAATACACTGCTGAGGAGAGCAGCAGGGGAGATTAGAGGTCTGCTGCACCGTCTGCGTCAGCTCCCTGTCTGGGGATCACACTCATGCTGCAGTTGCAGTGGATGGCTTCATAGTCCTGTGCTTTAAATCCTAGTGTCACCAAAGAGGCCCCAAACTCCCCTTTTTTGAACTTCTAGCTTTTGCCTAGATTACTCCCTGTGTTTTATCTTTTCCATCCAAAATAATGCTAGTTTAAATTTTTTTTTTAAGACTTGTTTATTCATACAGAACTGGGGTACAGGCCAGAGAGGCATAGGGGCGGTGAGAGGATTCACCAGAGACAGAATGGGAAGCAGAAGAGGTAGATCAGCACACTGCTGAGAGGATCAGTGGATGAGACAGGAGAGGTCTGCTGCACCATGTGGTCACTCACAGGGCTAAGGATCAAAACTCGCACTGAAGTGGCTGCGGCCAGCTTGCAGTGCAGCGTCCTTAGCCTTTGCGCCACTGGGAAGGGCCCTAGTTTTGAACTTTTATTGAGTTTTTGTTTTGACACTTTTGATTTTAATTATCTTGTTCTTTTCACCATTAATTTCTTTTTTTATAAAACATTATAACTGTTGAATGAATTTAATAACTTCAGTCTTTCTGGTTTATAATTAGATTTTAAAAAGCCAAATTTTGAAGTCTTTCTGAGGTTTAATTTTCCTTTTTATTTATTTTATATTTTAAAGTCTACTTTAGAATCCCATAGTTTTTCTAAAAAATTCTCCACTTATGAATAAGATAAGAAATGGGCATTTGGGGTCCCTCCCTGGTGGCGCAGCAAGTTAAAGCACAGCATTGCAAAGCTAGGAAGCTGGCAGAAGCCGCCTCAGCATGAGTTCAAACCCCAGAAAGGGAGGTGACCCACATAGCACAGCAGACCTCACCTGTCTCACCTGTTCTGCTTCCAACTCTGTCTCTGGTGAATCCTCTCACCCCGAGCACCTCTGACCTGTACCCCAGTTCTGTATGCATAAATGGGTAAATCTTTTAAAAAAGAAAGAAAAAATGGGAACTTTTTTAGAGTTGGCTGTATGTATGTGTATATGTGTTGTGTAGAATTTGCTTCACTCAAGGGTATGGTAGCAAGCCTTTTTAAGGTCAGAGTAAGATTTGAAATGCCAAAATAAGTAGGTAATTACCAGTACCCACACTAGTTTCTCTAATTCTACTGTGTTTGCTACTATATTTACCAAAAACAAACAAAAAAAAACAAAACAAAACAAAAAACCCATTATGTCATCATCATTAACATCATCATTATTTTAGGAAGATAAAAATTTTTGATTCAGGAGGGAAGAAAAGGCCTGGCTGTTGAATGTATAGACTTTCCCTGTTTTCAGCCCCATTTCTTAACTACTCTTTTCAGACCTCCCATTTCCAGACATTCATTTCCTTAGGGTTCTGTTTATGAGTCCTTTGGTTTGATTCCATTGAAACTTTATTAGGCTGCTATGTTTTCTTCTCTGCTGCATCTTTCATTATTCTTCCATCTGCTTTTGGTTTTCTAGAAAAGAAACACTCCTCCATTACTGGATGACAGTCCCCTTAAGATTGTGAATTAGTACCTTAAGAAAAATAAAATTGCAATATGATCATTTTAATAGGATTTCGAATATAGAACTGGGGTACAGACCAGAGGTGTATATGTGTAGGGGGATGAGAGGATTTACCAGAGTGAGGAGTGGAACAGGTTAATCTACTGAAATACACTGGGGGCTAGGGGGGCCGGGAGGGCATGGGAGTCCCTGGCCAGGGACTAAACTGCAATGGCTAGAGATAGCGTCATAGTTGTGCTTTTAGCCCATTGCACCACCAGGGAGGGCCCCCTAATTCTTTCTTTTATCCTGCTGATTGTGACCTTCGCCTTGGCCTCAAACTGCCTTTTTCTTCCTTTTACTTAAAAATAATAATGAGATAATTACAAAAATTTTAACAACAAGCCTCTCCAGATCAGACCATTGTTGTACATAACCACAGTACTGTTATATATAACCAAGTTAAATCTTACTTCCTTAAGATATTCAAAAGCTCAGTTCATAGTTCATAGCCATATATTCCCAGTTGTCTGTTCCAAAGTATTCAGAGCAACTTTTCCTTCTCAGGTAGTATCTCAAAGACTTCATAATCTGTTGTAATGATTGGCTTTCTGATGTGTTTTGCTTTGAGGGGAAAAAAAATTTTTTTTTTAATCTTGCTCTGCAAGAGCTAGATAAGGATTAAAAATTTCTTTTCACTGACCCCAAGGGGATAATACTCAGAAAAAAGGCAGGTGCTTGACATTTTTGTGAGATGTCCCTGCTTTTATGGGCTAGGTAAATTTGCTGTGTTTTCATATGAAACTGCTCAGGCTGTTTGCACATCTCACAATATAATGATATTGTCAGCCACATGTACCACCTTCCTCCCAAGCTCCCCTCCCCAATTAATACACACAGAGTAGTATTCAATATGATGCATTTAATAAGATATTTCTTCTTTTGTATCCCAGCTGAATGTCTTGCAAAAGTATTTTGGTTCACTTAATTTAGCCCTTTTTAAGTGTACATATTGCCAAAGCATTACATTAAAAATTAAAAATAGGGCCCTCCCTGGTGGCGCAGCGGGCTAAAGCACTGCACTGAGAAACTAAAGCCACTTCCTCATGAGTTCGATCCCCGCCTGCCCCGGAGGTGACCACATGGCGTGGCAGACCTCTCCTGACCCGCCCGCTGTTCCCCTCAGCAGTGTACTTCGTCGATCTGCCTGTTCTGCTCCCCACTCTGTCTCTGGTGAATCCTCTCACCCTCCGCATCTCTGGCCTGTACCCCAGTCTGTATGAATAAATAAATAAATCTTAAAAAAAAAAAATTAAAACTAGCATTTGAAATCATAAGAGGAGTTTTTATAAAGTCACTTGATATTACTTTGGTACCTACAGAAAGAATGGAGGGAAGACAGAAATGGAGAATTCAAAAGGAAAGTTGCCCGCTGTGTAAGGAAAAGCCAAGAGACTGCTTTTGAGTGACATTTATTCAACAACTGTAACTTCACTTATTTCAGGGTAAGTTCATTTTAAAAATCATGCTACTTAATCACCTTTTCATAAATGTCATAGACCTTTTTGGAAATGATTTGATTTGGACATGTGAATTGCTTCTTTTCATTGACTTCTGTTTTTTAAGATTATATAGTTTTAAGCTTTTTTTTAAAATTTTCCCCCTTTTAGTGGACCCAACTATTTCTAACTAGGTATTTTATGTTAAAGGTTGGTGTAGTAGTATTCTATCTCATTTCACTAGTGATAAAAGTTCTAATGAAGAAGTATTTATTTCTGTTTAGTTTCTTCTATTTTACCTCTTGGTCTGACTTAACCACTTTCAGACATTAAACATCTTTTACCTTTTTACACTATTTAATGTATGCTAAAGAGTGACTTAGATTTTGGTTTCTTAATTTTTTAAAAGGAAGTTACTTTGTAAAGCACTTTGGAAAGATCATTAAATATCTGCCTTTCTTCTTTTAGTTGACCTTTGTCTTCTTGTGCATTACTGATAAGTCCAACAGGAAATTTTGCCCTTTTGTTAATGCCATTATGTTCACAAGTTTAAGACTAGCAAGGAGTCAAAGATAGAAAACATATAGATAAACTGAACAAATGTGTGACATGTAATTTGGCTTTTTTCTAAAAAAAAAAAAAATATTGGGGTGATTAAAAACTGTTCTTGAAATGTATTTAAAAGAAGCATAATTCATAGTGCACCCATGAACTGTCATGTATTTTGAGAAAAAGAACTTTATATTACTTTTACATTTTCTGTATTTCTTCCTACCCCATCTATTCCTTACATTTTCCAGTTATGTGGTTACCATTGCTTTTCTTTACAATTTCCTCAACTTTGTATTCTGAAGCATTCACTTACTTTTGAACTGTATATATATGGAATTAAGAATATATTCATTATTTTGTGACTTTATTATCAAAAGTCAACTTACATATTTTAAATTTGTCTATATTAGATATAACTATTTGTTTCATTTTCACTATTACAGTATTACTTTAATTACCTCTCAATTCTCATTGCAATTACTTTCCAAGGAGTAGAGGGGTTTTTTTGTTGTTTATGTGGCTGTCTTTTTTTTTTTGGTGTATGTGTACTACAGTAATTCCTCTAGGATAAATGCCTAGCATTTTGACTAGTTGATGCCAGTTGTTTTTAAAAGTGTGCCACTCGTCAAGGACAAGAAATCCATTTGCTCCATAGTCCTTCTAACATTTGATATTATCAGACTTTATACATAAATTTTTAACCTGCTGGTTATAAAGATACATCATTATGAACTTAATGGTCATTGCCATCATTACCAGTGTGCCACATATTATTTCATGTTTCACCAGCAACTTTTTTACTGTAAAATGTTTGTTTGGTCTTTAGAGTGCTTTTCTATTAGGTCATTGGTTTGTATCCTTGTCATTTTACGTTCTTTATGGTATCCTTTGGATGAACAGTTTCTTAATTTTAATGCAGTTGAATTTATTAGTGTTTCCCTTTACGAGTTTTACTTTCTTTGTCTTATTGTATTCTGTTCCCTCAAGAAGCTGCTATTGCATATTGCTTTCTAAAGGTTTACAGTTGTCCCTTCCACAAAGGTGTTATATAGTGTGAAATTGGAATTCAAATACACGCACATAACTGTTGATTCATTTATCTGTAAGTCCACTTTTGCCACTTAAATTTGGAGCTAGTTATGTTGTACCTTCAGATATGTTCATCTGTTTCAGATCTTTATTTCATTTCTTGATTTGTCTGTCCCTGAACCACTGTTAGACTTTTTATTTTTATGATTAATTGTATCATATATAAAGGTTCATATCAGAAGGCTAAAGTTTGCCTACCATTCATCCTGTTTCAATGCTTTTTATCTTTAGTTTCTGAAAAGCTTAGTATATGCTTTTAGCTCTCCCGATAATAACACAACTTTTAAAATTAACCTGTCTTCCTGTTAATCACATATAACAAATAACCTTGCAATCTGCAAATGATTTTCACCATCCTGTCATATCTATCCTGTTTATTTTTGTTTTGCCTTTGTTAACTGTTCTCATCTTCATTATCAGTACCTCTGATACTTACTCAACGATCCATGTCTTTTCCTGTCTTTCTTCTTTTGCTTTCTACCACCTTAGATCAAGTTTTTGCTACTAGACTGTTATTTTAAGCCCTTGGTATGGAGCATTTCCCATGCCTGACTGTGCTTCATCCTGGTTATTCTTCCTGGATACAACTGCTGTCAGTCTTAACTGTCAGTCTTCAAGCACGTTTATCTTTCCACACAAAACTAAGTCATTTAAAAAAGGACACTAAGTAGGACCGACTGCCATGTCCAAAGGCTTTAGTTTTGAGTCTTAACCTTTGTATCATTTGATATAGAGTACTATATGGTACCATCTAGAATGTATCAGATTTTCTAGAATTATCATTTACTCATAAATATCATGACTCTTTCTACTTTGTTCTAAAAGTGATTGCCAACTTTAGTTTTCTTCCATTCCTTTGCCCACCTCTTTATTGTTGTCCCTCTGTCTCCATACTCCTTATTCCTCATTCCCAGTTGTAGGGCTGGATTGCCTGATTTTAGATGTTTCATGACTTTAAGTAGTGATTTCTTGGGTGTTTTTCTTTAAAACCTCACACAAAAACAGTTTTTAAATGATTCGTTTGTGGCCCTGAAATTTTTTTCATATCTTAGGGGAATGATTACTGAATGCCCAAGCTTTATACCCAGTTCTCTTTCAATCCTTAGGGACTAGTTAGCTAGGGATTAATTTGGGTATGGTGTATACTCTTTGGAAAAACATTCAAGTATCTTCAGTTAAAAATTATAATACCAGGCCCTCCCTGGTAGCACAGCTGGTTAAAGCACAGCACTAAGAAGCTAAAGCCACTTCAACATGAGTTCAATCCCCACCTGCCCTGGAGGTGATCCACATGGTGCTGCAGACCTCTCTAGACCCGCCTGCTGCTCCCCTCAGCAGTGTTCTTCGTCCTGTTCTGCTCCCTACTCTATCTCTGGTGAATCCTCTCACTGCCCCTGCACCTCTGGCCTGTACCTCAGTTCTGTATGCATAAATAGATTAAATCTTTTAAACAATGATAATACCAGGGCCTCCCTGTGGCGCCAAGGAGTCGAAGATCAGCACGATATGAGGCTATTGGCAGCCTCTGAAGCATAAATTTGGTCCCTGCCCAGGGAGGTGGTGCAGCAGACCTCTCCTGTCTTTTCCTCTGCTCCCCTCAGCAGTGTATTTCAGGCAATCTGCCTGTTCTGTTGCCCACTCTGTCTCTGGTAAATCCTTATCTCCGGCCTGTACCCCAGTTCTTATATTCATAAATAAATAAATCCTTTTTGTTAAAGTTACAATACCTGTTCTATGGTGATGTATCTTGAGTTTCATCATATGTCTTTAATTTTTTTTAACGAGTTTGTGCAAGTGGTAGGATGTGATAGTAATGAAGGTGACATATTCATATTTGGTGCACTTAATACCTTGCTAGGAAACATTTTAATTGATGGGCACATCCCCTTAGAGAGAAATTTAGCAATAGTTCTTCTTTCTGGGGTTCGGTTGCAGAAAGAAGTATCTTGTTCTAGAGCAGCAGACCTCTCCTGTCTCGCCTGCTGCTCTTTCCAGCAGTGTATTTTGCCTTCATTCTGTCTATTCTGCTCCCCACTCTGTCTTTGCTGAATTCTCTCACAGCCCTTGCACTTCTGGCTTGTACCCCAGTTCTGTATGCATAAATAAATAACTAAATGCTAAAAAAAATAGTCTAACCTAGGGGACTAGGCACATAGAGGGTCATATATTGGCCCACAGTTTTATTTCTTTTCACAACAGTGTTGAATTTGAGGTAATTAGAAGATTAATAATTCATGGCTTTCGCAGATGATGAACTTTTTTTTTTTTTAAGTTTTATTTATGCATACAGAATTATGGTACAGGCCAGAGGTGCAGAGTGGTGAGAGGATTCACCAGAAACAGAGTGGTTAGCAGAACAGGCAGATCAATGAAGTATACTGCTGAGGGGAGCTGTGGGCAAGACAGAAGAGGTTGCTGTGCCATGTGGATCATGATTTCTGGAGCTAAGGATCGAACTTGCACTGAAGTGGCTGTGCTATGCTTTAACCTGTTGAGCCACCAGGGTGAACCAAGGCAATGAATTTTTTTTTTTTTTAAAAAATTATTTATTTATTCATACAGAACTGGGGTACAGGCCAGAGGCTCAGGGGCGGTGAGAGGCTTCACCAGAGACAGAGTGGGGAGCAGAACAGGCAGATCGACGAAGTACACTGCTGAGGGGAGCAGCGGGCGGGTCAGGAGAGGTCTGGCTCACCATGTGGTCTCCTCCGGGGCAGGCGGCAGGCGGGAATCGAACTCATACGGAAGTGGCTTCAGATTCTCAGTGCTGTGCTTTAACCCGCTGCGCCACCAGGGAGGGCCCAAGGCAATGAATTTTTAACATGTCTGGCATGAGTTAAATGTTTGTATATTTGACATCTTTGTTAGAGTTTAAAATTATATTTGAATACCCGGTCGTCTTCTGTTTGAATTCTCTGTGCCCAATGTTGTGTTCAGCAGACAATGCAGGTGTTTGAGTTTCTGGAACATTTGCTCTGATATAATAGTAATAGTTATTCTGGTCTGTTATCCTCCCTTTTCTCTGTTCTCCTTACATATTCATTGTATACATTAATGTAAGCTATTCAACTGAAAAGCCCAATCTCCAGTAAGACCTTTTGAACTTTTGAGCAAGAAACACTGGCATTTATTAGCTATATAACCGTCTCACCTAAGGAAAAACTCCTCCTTCATATGATGATTTTGAGCATGAGATATCCTTTGTAAAACATTTCACACATTGCTGGGGATATCATAGCATTTGATTTTTTTTAGTGGCATTTTTTTATTTAGATGTGGTTCTTGTCTTTCAGGTTAATTGAAGACATGAGACCAGTCAATACTAAAACAACAGGAAGCTATATGGGATAAGAGATTAATTGTGGGTAGGATTAGATCAGATTGTACCTAGATTAAAAAGAATTTAGCAGTTTGAAATGTATCCATCCAGCAATTTTAACTTATTTCTCTGAATATTCTTAAATATTTGAAAATTTCCAAGTCACTTAGTTTTTACATAGTTCTATTTTTTCATTCCAGATGCACTGTAAATTAAAAGAGCTTTTGGGTTATTGAGAAATCTAAATTAAGTCCATATAATCAGACTTTTTTCTGCAATGATATAAATATTCTGTCACACTGTCCACCATAGTAGTTATTAAATATAACTACTAGCTATTAGCACTTGAAATGTGGCTAGTGTGACTGAGGAACTAAATTTTAAGTTTCATTTACCATTTTTTAAATTTAAAATGAAATGACCATATGTGGCTATCATATTGGATGAATACAAAAGTGAGTTGAATGTCAGTTTCCAAAGAAATAAATAGGACACGAGTAAATTTAATCTATTAATTTTTTGTTAATTTATAAATTCTCTACATAATGCTATTTGTTTTGTTGTAGGTCTCCAATTGAGAAACATGGCACTGTTTTCCTGCACTCTACCCATCTATTGCTGGACTTCTGTTGTAACAAGTTGGCAAACACTGGCTGGAACTGGGCTGCAATAAAACATGCCAGTATCAATGCTGACAAGAGCCTAACAAGTGCCAACTTACAGATGATTACGCATTTTGAATTCTAATGAACTGTTTTAACCTTCAGGAAGAATTGTAAAGACCTGTACATAGCACAACATGATCCGGATAATATATATACTGTTGATGTACATCCACAATACACCTTGTACCAAATAATGCTTTCTTGTAGTAGAATAAGAATCGTGTAAATTCTAAAAGATTTTAGCAGGTTTTCTTTCCCTATTCATTGTTTCTTATCAGTTTTAAAAGACTCCTTAAAGCATGTCAGATGAAAAGCAATTAGGATTACAAGTTTCCATTTAATTTCCTTTAAACCATTGAGGCTTCATTAAACTCTTGTCACTTACTAAACTTTTGTATATTCTTTGTTTTGACACAATCTCCTTTGCTTCTCTTCTACTTGCCAGAAAGTTTTCCAATCATTTAGTTCAAATACTGAAATACTTAATAAGCAACTACTTGATTTTTAATGATGACCTCCAAGGAGTGGTCATCACTAGGTGCTTTGTCCTTTTTCTATTCTAGTTCTACCCACCTCTTGGATTGGATGTAGCAATAACATTTTTTGGCTGTTGAGAGCTCTTGAACTCAGTCACTATCCCCAAAAACTAAAAAGAGTTGGTTCTGTACTCATTGAAATTTTCTCCAAACAATACAGGATTCTGATTTGGTTTTAAACTTGCCCTGCAGTTGCCTAATGTTAAAGTTGGATGAGTAAAGCATGCACAGCTACAGGCTTTCTACTTAACTTCTGGGTTTGCTATTAAAAATGCTGTTTACCCTCATACTTTTCTTCTTAGCCCTTCATATATACTTGCCTCTATTCTTCTCTACTGCAGATTTTTCTCACCTATTGTACAAAGAAATTGCGATGTATATTTTCATGTAATTTGATTTTGGAATTCTGTCACCTTATGTAGTGAGTTCTTCCAAAATATAATTTTTTTTCCAATAATTGTCAAGTTGTTGGCTTTTATTAAAGTATTGAATGAAGGTTATAATACTGAATGCCAGAGAAGTGCAGTTTAGAAAAATCTCAGGTAGATTCCTTATGCAAACAGATTTAATACTTGAAAAATCACATGGTCATGACAGTATATGTATTGGGCTCTATTCAAGATTATGTGACTCTCAAAGCAACAGGGGTATAAATGCTTTGATATTTGACAAACATTCTGTCACTAACATAGTGTACCTTTTTGATTAATGTTTGAGCATAAGTGTATTTCTTACACATTTTTCTAAAACAACTTCAGAAAATGGTAAGATGAGCATATGCAGTTTTAAAGGCAAGTCCAAGTTCTCTGTTTGGTGTCTAAAGGACTTGGTGTGAGAACTTTGGTGTGAGGTTGGAATTGGGAAGAGTAGTCATTGGTGTATAAGGGATAAAACTGGGAACAGTCCTTATTTGAGGAATGGTGTCTAATTGTGAGAACCAGTGTTTCTCACTAATTGGGGCCCACCAGTGCCTCATCATTAGTGTAGGCATCATCTGCCCTGTGGTTTTGAAGAAATGTTTTGGCAGATGAATGAAAGGATTACTAGTTCCAGTAGCCCACAAACTTGGCATATCCTATTTAAGCAGAAGTAAAATGGTTGAAGATGTAGTTATATAGTAGAGTGATTACTTTTGAATCCCAGTCTGTTCTCTACATTGAAGCATGAAAAAGACATAAATGTGTAATGACTCAATGTGCAAGTTGTTTCATTCACTGCACCCCAATTTTCTTCAAGAATGTCATTGGTGATTTTCTTTTTTTTAAGACGTTAAAAGAGTTGCCTCAACGTGCCAGTGCTCCACACCTGCCTGGGACTTTGAATGCAATCCCTTTTAGTTTTACATTGGAAATTGTTCACATGGTGGTTGCTTGTGGCAAAGTGGAATCTGAATTTTGCTTTCCCATTGTTGTAACTCTGCTTGCAGTCTATTGAGTTAAAACCTGGGATTTGACTCTTCAGGGAGTAGCAAAATAACTTAGTAACTCAGGGACAACTATTCTTGAACTTCAAGTGCCACTTTAAAGCAGTTACTTCGGTTATACCATGTGTTTTTTTTAGGGCTGTAGATCCAGGGGGTGTAGAAGGAAGAGCAAGAGTGAATGCACCTCTCTTCACACTACTTTTCACCTGATGCCCTGACAAAGTTACATATAGAAATGCAGGCTTACATAGATATTTGATTTCTTTTCCTCTGACAGAGGTGTCATCTGTGCCTTTCCCAGTGTTTATCTGATGGTGTGGGTTTAAATGCCTTTACGTTTGATACTAAACCACAATCAGGTGACACTGATCCAGGTGGCTTTTGTCCCACCATTGCCTCATCAATAGTGTGAGGTGAGTCCTCTCTGCTTTAGGAAAAGAAGCCCCCCCATCCCCACCTTTGTGCCAACTATCAAGTCTAGTAATGGATTGTAGAACTGTTGGCTGTTCCCTAAATTCCAAGTTCTTTTAAAGGCATATAGATTTCAGTCTGTGTTCATAATGGGATGGATTATCTTGGCCTTCTGGCCTTTTGTGAGTTTCAAATGCATATGAGGTTGGTTTCTTTATCATTATGATCGTATGTTTGTGAAGTTATTCTACTAGTTCTGTGATGACTTGGGTGTCATAGTATATTTAATGGTCTTCATTCTTGGTTGTGAAATTTTATATGCTCACTCATCCTCTATAAATCTGCCCATTTTGGGTTGTGGTGCCTGTGTATCTTTGCCCATCTGGTCTCCAGTTAGTGGAATTACCTTTTTGTACTGCCACTTCTCAGCATCTTTGAAATTTGACATAATGTTGCTTCATTCCGTTTTTATTTTTGTTTTTGGTTTTGGTTTTGTTTTTAGTTCTGTAACTTGTTGATTGTATTTTAACTATGTGAGTTCTGTTGTGATGTTTACTGTATTGTAAAGCACCTTGATCATGTGATAGGTGCTCTATAAATCAATAAATGATGACTTAGAGGCTGTATCATGAGCTGTTTGGTTTTAGGACGCAGATCTCAAAAGCAATTGTTGGATTCTTTATATAAACAGCACATGATAACAGAGGTATCTGGGGACTGATGAAGAATTTTTGTAACTTCATTTAAGAAGAAATCAGAGGGTGGGGTGTTGACTTCCAATCTGATATGTCACTCTTAATTTCCAATACATGGACAAGTACCATTTTTAATCAGTTTCTGTACATGCTGATTTAGAACCTTAAATAAAATGAGCACATTTAGAGCATTGTTGGGGATCCTGTCTTTGCCCTAAACTGGCTCTGCCATGGAGATAATTTAAAATTGAAGAACCTTAAGCCCAAATGAAAGCTGAAAGAAACTTCAGGCACTGTCTTCAATCACCATCTCCCCACTCCTGAACAACTGGGCAAATGTAGCCCAAGTGCCTGCTCAAAGTCCTTACTAAGTTAGTAGGAAAAAGGAAAGATTAAATACATTTTTAGAAAGTGGAATGTTGGTATCCATCCTTACTGAAAGTTGATTCTTCCTTGTGGAAGTTCTTGTGAATTTACACTGTTAGGTGTTGAAAGTTTATCTTGATATATGTTGTCAGTGCCTATTCATATTTCTTCCTTTAAAATTCATAGATAGAGCCCTCCCTGGTGGCGCAGTGGAGTAAAGCTATCTGCAGCCACTGCAGCAGAGGTCAATCCCTGGCCAGGGAGCTGACCCACATGGCATGGCAGACCTCTCCTGACTTGCCCACTGCTCCCCTTGGCAGTATATTTTCAGTCAATCTGTCCTCCCACTCTGTCTCCGGTGAATCCACTCACCCTCCTACAGCTCTGGCATGTACCCCAGTATGTATGTATAAATCTTGAAAAAAATTTCAGAGATAACAACATGGAGTCAGACATTTTAATCAGCTGAATTAGAAATAAGAAAAATCTTTAGACACAGAAAGTTTGGGTATCAGAATTTAATTTCCCTGATAAATACATTTGAAATAAAACCATTATAGAGGGTGTAGGTGATGTCTGTGGACATTTAGTATCAATCTTAGGCTAAAAATAGTGAAAAACAATCTACTTAAGGCATGGATAAGAAAAATGTTCTATTTTATTTCTCATATGCAAATGAGCATGTTTTTTGACCGCCTACTGTGCAAGGCACTAGGTTTTGTGGAAAGGCAGGTAAATTTTCATCTACTTCAAGAAATGTAAAATTATTAACTGTCTTACCAAATTTAAAATTTTCATTTTCTGGAGTAATGGAAACCACAAGATTCAATTTGCAGAGCAAATATTTCCCGGATAAGGTATTTTTGAGTGCTCTTTCCAAAGTGTAGCACCTGACTACAAAGGTGTAATTGTTTTTGGCTTGTTTACTAAGCACATGACACTGAACTGTTGTGAAGAAATTTTAATCCTGTTCGCATAGGAATAAACTGAAGAAGGAAAAACCTTCCAAAAGGCACATCGTAAACACAGGAGCAGCACAGAAAGTAATTTTTTCCCCTCCCTGCTGGTATCCATTAGTACTACGCACTTGTGTGTTCAGTGACACTTCACTTATTCTTTACAAGCAATAGAAATCAGTCTTCTACTGGGCCTTCCTTATGGCGGCAGGGGTTAAGTACACCACTGAAACTATCAGCAGCCACTGCAGCACAAGTTGATCCTGGCCAGGGAGCTGACCCATGTGATGATGCAACAGACCTCTTTTGTCTCACCCACTGTCCCCTCAGCTGTGTATTTCAGTATACTCACCCCACTCCGTCTCTGGTGAATCCTCTTATCCCCTGTATCACTGGCCTGTACCCCAGTTCTTGTATGCATAAATGAGTAAGTCTTCAAGGAAAACAGAGCCCTATTTACTAAGTCTCTATTTTTAAAGATTTATTTATGCATACAGAACTGGGGTTCTGGCCAGAGGTGCAGGGGCGGTGAGAGGATTCACCAGAGACAGTGGGGAGCAGAACAGGCAGATTGTGGAAGTACACTGCTGAGGGGAGCAGTGGGCGGGTCAGGAGAGGTCGCTGGGCCATGTGGGTCACCTCCGGGGGCAGGTGGGGATTAAACTCATGCGGAAGTGGCTTTAGCTTCTTAGTGTTGTCCTTTAACCCTCTGCGCCACCAGGGAGGGTCTGAGCCTCTATAAGAAGTCTGTGTTAGATTTGTTTGGTAAAGAATTTATTCAAGTGCTAAGAATCATGTAACAGTTTGAAGAAACAGTCATGAAGAAACAGATTCAGGTTAGTTTGTCAAGATTGTAGAGCAAAATCAGTTTTGCTGCTGGAAATTAGTACTGTAATCTTCCCTATACATACTGGGTACTGTTATCCTTTATAGAAGAGGAAGCCGAAGTCCAGGAACATTTTTTCATTGTCACCTAAGAGAGCAGAAGTGTTGATGCTGGTACCTCAACCTCATTCACTGGACTTCTAATGTAATCAATCATTTCCTCCACCACAGCCCCTTCTACCATGATAATGGTAACACTTCCCCCAAAAGGCCTAATGCCCATGTTCTTAAGGCAGTCCACATTTGTTTCTTCTAGCACTAACGTTCTTGTCTCCATACTTTCTCTTAATTTGACAGCAAAGCCTGAATTAGGTCTAACGTAAACCATATTCTAGTGGTCAGATTTTTTAAAATGTATTTTTAAGTCATATCAAGCAATGTTGGATGCTGTAGTTCACTGAATACTACAAATTGTTTATTTTATAGATTTTACTAAAAAGTCCTCTAGCTCAGGGGTTTAAAGCCAGTAAGAATCCCCTCAGAGACAAGGGCAAAAGAGATAGGGTTATAGTAAGGCTTTTCTAAGAGGACTGCTTTCATCTCTGATAGAGGTTTCTTGAAGGTAGGTTGTGATGAAGATTTAGTCAACCCCTAGAGTTAAGTCCAAGCAGATGGAAAGAGCACAAATTTATTCTTGCATATGTGGTGCTGTGAGGAAGAAAACCAGGTTCCTGCCTTACATCAAATTCTCTGAAGGTCATGACCATTCAATTATGAAGAACCATGGGTTCCAGTCCAATTCTTGAATTTGATGGAGACTGAGTAGGCTTATAGGAACTTCCCCATGATGAATCCAGCAAAGCAGTTGCAGAGCCAAATTTGAACTTAGTTCTCCTGACTCCTAGTACAGCTTAATGGTAAGAACTCATCAGTGAGTACCTGCTGTCTGCCAGCCCCTAGCCTGATCCTTGCATGATGCAAGACCAGCATCAGGTGTGACTACTGTCCAACATGTCACTTCATGTTATAACTCAGAAAATATTTGTAGGGTACCCTTAGGATAAATAGGGGAGGCTATATGTGGCCAGAGGAGACAAGACTGCTGGCTACCTTGGAGGCTCCAAGGGCTTGCTGTTTGGGACACTTATAAACCATTTTGGACAGACAGCGGACCTTTCTTTGACAAAGACTCACTGCCCTTCTCTGTCTAAGTGCTTCTTGTTCCCTGCAGCCCCTGTAAAGTATCTCCTTACAGACAACCTCACATCTTGGGCATACCATTGTACCTGCCTATTTCAGTGTCCAAGTCTCCCTCTCCCAGGAGTTCCTCAGCCAGAATTCCTTTATCTTCCTTAAAATGTTAACTCCATGACCCTGTGTTTCTATGATCTAAATTCCAAATTTCTTCTCTACTTCATCTCACTTTCCACTAATGCTTACCCACAGCATCTAAAACTACTACTTTAAATTCTTCCCTTTTTCTGATACATCCTGTACTCATCCTCCCTTCAATCTCTTACTCTTGGCTCTTCTCCAAAGCCACCACTTCCCCTGCAGTTCTTAATTACTGGTGCTTCTAGGAATGGGCACAATCAGCATTCCTTCCATTTTCCTTGGAGTAAAAATCCTTTCTTTGAAAGGTCTCATGCCAGTCAGTCATATTGCATTTTATCCCTCTTTTTTGGTCAAAATCATCCCAATGTTCACTAAAGATATTAGCACCAGGCTAATGGTTTCCTTCCTTTCCTACATCTACATTCCAATACTACTTTTCCTGGCTTCTGACTTCCACTTCTCTATTCCATGGACTTTATGACCTCCTATGCTATTGAACATAGCAACTTCAGCTTGTCCTTCTGACCAGAGAGCTCTAACAACCTTGTTCCCACCAGACTAGTCTTCTATATTAAAATAGAGAGGCTTGCAGTTTTTTTCCTACACCAACTTCTACCCAGTCTGCACCTGAGCTTTATTCTCACACTCTCCATTTCTTTTTGGTAGTAAGTCCCATTTAAGGAAAATGCATGTAATTTCTGCTTCCACAGTCAGGGGGCTGAGTTCTGTCACAAAAAAGTAACCTACTCACACATACGAGAGGACACTTGAAATCAGGCCTCCCTCCCTCCAATTTTTTTAATTCTGTTTACGAAATTAAACCATCAGGCGATCTCCCTGTCAGTTTTCCCCCATCATTTCAATCTGTAAGCATGCTCTTGTTTCTTAACGCTTTAATAGATTACAGATGACCTGCCTCGAGTATAATTGATCCCTTCTCCTGAATTACTTTTGTATTCACTTGGAGGGGGATCCCACCTCGCAAAGGCGGCTCTTTGAGCCTCTCACATCTTCCCAAATAAATCTAGAAACCTACGAAACCCCTCTCTTAACCCGCTCACAGTTTTTTTCCAAAGAGAAGTCTATACTCGCTGTATTCATCCTTCCCAGTGTCCTTCCAAAGGCGTGGTTGATGTTAGAGCCCAGCCAGTCTTGGCAAGTCCAGCGCCTCGTAAGTGTAAGGTAAAGACGGTCTCCCCGTTCTCCCGGCGTCCAGCCTCCCTTCCCCTTTCATTCACTGCTCAGTCCCGATCTCGACTCCTCCTTTTGCCTGGCCTCCTACAGCTCTCGCGAGATTTGGGCTCCGTTACCGCCGTCCTAGCGGAGGGCGCACTTCTCGCGAGGCTGCTGGCAGGGCCGGGCCCGACATGGCGGAAGGTAGGGTTTTGGTGGAGCCGCGCGGGAAGGCGCGGAGCTGTGGGGGCGCTGCTGGCTGGGCTAGGCAGCCCTGAGAGGGACTGACCGGGCGTGGTCGTGTGGAGCACAGCGGGTCTCGCGAGCCTTCCTTTTCTGCTTTCCCGGGGCGCCGTGGGCCCGGGTCTTGAGCGCTATTCCTATGGCAACGCCCCTCCGGCAGTTTCTGTCCTCCTGGGACCGCGGCTGCCAGTGGAGCCCGGTTAGGTCCGGTGCGGACTCAGTGCAGCAGTGGGGATCCCGACGGCGGCGAGGGGGGCTGCTTTGATTACCGTGCTGCTGGGACGACTGGGAAGTAACCCTGCTCTTTAGGAAATCGAAACTGCTGTCCTGGCTCGTCCTGCATCCGGAAGGGGTGCATCCCTTGCCTGCGGAAAAGCTTGGGACGCTTCCCGGGGTGAGGGATGGTAGACTGCTAGGGTTGTATGTAACTAGCGGGTACGCCCTAGGGGCGCGCGCTGTCGTCTCCGACTCCGCGGCGAACCCGGAATTCGGCCAGCTGGGATGCTTTCCACAGGTCTACAGATGTGGACTGGAGGAGGGAGTTTGCTGTGTAAGGTAATTGACCAAGGTCACCCTGCTCGTGAGAAATGAGCTAGAATAGTCTTTTGCCTCCCGGTTCATTCCTTGCACTCTTTTCTGATGCCTGTCTATATGACATTGCGGAGAAAGGCAGTTTGCCCTATCAGATTCTTCACCCTTTAACGAAGCAATATGAAAGCCCTCCATTGTCAAAGCCTTATTTTGCAAGCAGGAGAAAAGAAATCCAAGCGATGGAGAGTTAGCTGCCAAAGACCCTATAGTCAAACTGTCTCACCGGGCCAATATGCTACTCCCTGTTCTCCCCATTATTGGAGGAAAAGAATTGCTTGATTTAATGTTTATTGAGTCACTGGATTGTGGTGATTCCACTTAGTGTATTGGTTTTGAGCTACGCCTTGTCTGAATTCATCTTTAGTTGGACCTTAGATTTGGGAGGCACCTGACAGTTTGCAGCCTTTTCTCATTTGGACTAGACTTGTGAAGGAACCATCATGTGTGTGATTTGCTCTTTATAGAAAAGGAATTGAAGGCAAAGTTAAAGGGATACTAGGTTTTTTCTTTGGTCTTTCTACTGTATTAGATGCCTCTACTCACTCACTCACTCCCAATCCCCATGGAAGGAGAAATATCAGGTGAATATTGTATAAAAGCAGAGGAGGAATAAGACCAAAGAGAAAACTAAGGCATGCCTTAAAGCTAGTTTTGAAATAAATCACAACAGGCAACAGTGAAGTAGGGTAGAACAATTCTAGAAGGTGTTATGGGAAAGGAAATGGGTAGTTCAGCACTTTTATTCTAAGGAGAGAGTTGAGGAGTATTTGGGAGATATGACATTACTCAGATTAGGATTGTGGAATGCAGCTGGTTTTTCATTAGGTGCTTTTACTAAGCTGCTGTACTTTGCAGGCAGGTTCCAGCCATCTGGAGTCCATATAGTCTGTCAGCATACTGGTCATTATCCTGCCAATGCCCTCAGATACTTAGGGTGACCTTGAGAGACATCTAGTCAATGTGGTATGCATCTTAAACTTGCTTTTTGGGTTAAATAAGCAAGAGAATAGACAGGTAAGCACACAGTCCTGTGCATCTGACATGACAGTCTTCTACCTTTTCTGTGTTCCTATTTCTTATGCCCTGGTTTAAGCTTTTTGAAAATGATTTTGCAAACTTTGAGGAAAATTGGGACATTTTAGTCCAGTTGGCTCACAAACTGAAGATGCTTGTATGCAAAGGAAGGCAAGAGTAGCTAGGAAGTAATTTGCGGGGGTGTTAACTTGTTGATGCTGCTTGGTCATTAATAATAATGTTCAGGACTGGCTACACTCGTTTTGAGATACTCAAATAAAAACGAATAGCAAAAATTTTGACATGTAACAACAGGATTATCTGTAAGCACACTCTGAGAACTTCCATGTTGGAGATTTTGTCTTGTACATAAGCATATGGAGCTAGGGTTGAGGCTTCCCCAGACATTGAGTCTGCAGCATCTTGGTTTTGGAATTCCTATCTCCAGAACTATGAGCAATCAATACTTGTTCTTTAAAAGAAAGAAATGATTAGGAATAGTAAATAGAACCTAGATTATACTGAGTGTACAGTAACTGCTTAAGGTGACTTGTTTAGAGGGCCCTCCCTGGTGGCGCAATGGGTTGGGATGCAGCACTGCAAGCTGGCTGCAGCCTCAGTGTGGGTTCCAACCCCAGCCCCGGAGGTGACCCATCTGGCGCGGCAGACCTCTCCTGACCCGCCCACGCTGCTCCCCTCAGCAGTGTACTTCGTTGACCTGCCTGTTCTGCTCCCCACTCTGTCTCTGGTGAATCTTCTCACTGCCCATGGGCCCCTGCCCCTGACCTGCATCCCAGTTTTGTATGCATAAATAAATCTTCAAGTAAAAAAGTGACTTGTTTAGAAACCAAGCTTCTTTCCGTCATCCATGGCTATTGCTTTGACCATGCATATTTAGCTTAAGTCTGTCCTAAAGTTAGTTTTTACTTCCATTCCACATCTCTAGCTATCCTGCTAATCTCAACTTCCTTCCTCACTCAACAACAACAACAAAAAAAACACCCCTCCTTCCTGCTTTTACTTTTTTCTCCTTGGTTTTGCTTCCCCATAGTTTCTGTTTATAGACTTTTCAATGTTCCCTTTAGAACTTAAATCAGATTATGTTTTTCTCACTTTTTTTTTTAAGATTTATTTATTTATGAATACAGAACTGGGGTACAGGCCAGAGGTACAGGGGCCATGAGAGGATTCACCAGAGACAGAGTGGGGAGCAGAACAGGTTGACTAACAAGTATACTGCTGAGAGGAGCAGCAGGCAGATCAGGAGAGGTGGGATAAAACTTGCACTATAGTAGCTTTAGCTTCCCAGTGCTGTGCTTTAACCCACTGTACCACCAGGGAGGGCCCCCAATGACCGTTTATGTCCCAGAAGGATCTGGCCCCTAGTTAACATTGCAGCCTTATTTCCTACTTCTCATTCACCATGTTTTTGTCTCATCAACTTCCTTCCTGCTCTTTGTACATTTCCTCTGTTTCCTTGTCCTTGCAATTCCCTTGACTTGGAAGTCTTCCTTAGTTTCTCCATATAGCTAGGTGACTTTTATTTGGTCACATAAATAACAGTTCTCAATCTGAAAGATCTTCCCTAATTTTTTTTTTAAATTTCCTCACTTGAATATAAATCCATAAGGGTAAAGGCTTTTTCTGTTTTCCTCACAGCTGTATCTTTCAACTTAGAATTGTGCCTGTGGTTTAAGGGATAAATGAATTTACCAGATGTCAAGAAAAGTTGCCTGAGCATATCTTTAGTCTCTTGCTCCCTGTCTAGCTCTTAATGTGCTCTGAATAATACCCACATGTCAAGAGTTAACTAACCTAGTTTTCATTCTGCTTATTTTGGTCTCATCTTAGTCTCTGCAGCTCAGTGGATTTGAATCCTAGTAGTTTTCTAATCAGTGATCATAGACAAGCCAATTAATAGCTCTTTTCTCAGTTTTTTTCTTTAAAAGAAGAGTAATCTCTAGCTCATAGGTAACTGAAGATCAGAAGAAATAGTGCACAAAGAATGCTTTTAGTAGGGTGCCCAGCATTTTGCAAGACATGCAGTCTTTCTCTTAGTCTCCTTTTTAAAAAAAAAAAAAAGATTTACATATTTATTCATACAGAACTGGCGTACAAGCCAGAGGTACAGTGAGAGGCTTCACCAGAGACAGAGTCGGAGCAGATCAGGCAGATCACTGAAATACACTGCTGAGAGGAGCAGCGGGCGGGTCAAAACACACCTGTCATCAAAACACACCTGTCACACCATGTTGATCACCTCTGGGGCCGGGGATCGAACCGGCTCTGAAGCAGCTATGGCCAGCTTGCAGTGCTGTGTCCCAACCCGCTGCACCACAAGGGAGGGCCCTCTCTTAGTCACCTTTTAAACATTTCTTCTGCCCTTCCTTAGTAAAGTAAAAGTGAAAATGGGAAAACCGTAAATGAGTTATTAAACAAAAACTGATGGTAGGCTTTTACTGGGATTTGGTAGAAAAAATACTTTTGATAAAGTAACAAGATAAAGGCATTCCATATTCCGGAGAACTGGTCAGTCAGTAGCCACTAGTCACAGATGTTTAATATTCAGTTCCTTAGTCACCCTTTCCAATCGATTCTAAGTGAGAGATAGCCATATGGTTAGTGATATTGCAGGTAATAGAACACTTTAATCTGTTCCTGAAAGTGCTGGTCAACAGCACTGTTCCAGAAAACACTTCATCAGTATAGGCTGATAGAAACAGAGAGAGAGGAGACTTTGATCTCTTTCCAACTTTTAAAGATTTTACTTATACATACAGAACTAGGGTACAGGCCAGAGGTGTGGGGTGGGGGCAGGGGAGGAGGAGGTGAGAGGACTCAGCAGAGACAGAGTGACAAGCAGAACAGGTATATTGACTGAGATACACTGCTGAGGGGAGCAGCAGGCAGGTCAGGAGAGGTCTGCCGCACCATGTGGGTCACCCTCTGGCCAGGATTGAACTCGTGTTGCAGTGGCTGTGATAGCTTCAGAGCGTTGTGCCACCAGGGAGAGCCAGTTTCTTTCCAGTTTTGAAATTTATCTCTTCATATATAGTTTTACCCATTCAACAAAGGCTATATGCAATAGATAATTGTATATAGTCTGGAGCCTCTCAAGCATTATTTTATGCCACTCCCTATTCACTGTCTTCCTTCACTTCTGTTACCAGCAGTGTCTTTCCTTGGGATTTTTTTCACCAAGAAACCAAATTTATCCATTCACAGCAGTAACTTGAGTGTTTGAGAGCAGGGCTTCTGAGTATGTTGAGTGAGACATGCAGGATCCATTGACTTGCAAGGCAAATTGTAGTTGATTGAGATGTTATGACTTACTGTGATGCCCAACAAAATTGTTTTTTCTTTATTCTCTCTTGCTGGTCTGAGTAGAGCAAGTACTTAATCATATTTATTAAACTCCACGTAGTAAAGAAGGCAGGGTAGGGAGGAGCCATTGAGTAGAGGTGGAGAAAAATCATGGGTGGTTAAAAAAACACTGGCCACACCTAGAGTTTTTTCACCTGGAACTCAGCAATCTAGGAAGGGAGATGAATTGTGTCTCTAAGAAGCAATTGTAAGGTTGAAGGTGGATAAAGCTCTGGAATTTCACTGAAAATTTAGAACAGAATTTTTTCAGTGAAATGATGGAGAGTGTTTTTGGGTGGTCAGGGAAAGCCTTTACTGTAGAGATAGTGTTTGAGCTGGTCTATGAAAAATAGGCCCTTTTTGGACATGGAGAGAAGGAAATGGGAGGAAGTCACGATTCTCACTGGAATAGTGAATGGGAACTGTGGGATATGAGGTTGGAAAAGTATGCAAGGGCTACGTTGTGAAGTGTGTAAGCATTTGGATTTTATTCTGTGAGGCTGCTAAAGGATATCAGTCTAGGTAGTGACTTGAGTAGAAATGCCTGAGATATGTTAAAATGGGTACAGTGTAAAGGATATACTTGG